TTTCATACATATGCCATATGTTTATAATTGAGGGCTAGCTAAGTTAGAGTGCAAGTAGGTTATGAGTATACTTTGTTGCCCAAATTTGTATGATATCTCTATGGGCCCAACCCGAACTGAAAAACAAGCTTTTGATATAACTTTTCATACATATCGTATGTAGTCCATATGTTTATAACTGAAGGCTAGTTAAGTTAAGAGTGCAAGTAGTTTATGAGTATATTATGTCCAAGCCCAAACTTGTATAATACCTCTATTAGGCCAATCCAAACTTAAAAGAACCCAACCCAATCCAAATTTGGAGCACCGTGGGTTACCTGGACGGTTGGAAGATTATCATTTGGAAAATACACATCCATTCTGATCTTCTTTCCAAAACCTAATCCTCCTCCCATCTTCAAAGGTGTCAATGGCTGCACTCTGCTTTTAAATTCTTTCCGATTCCTCATCCAATTACCCATAAAAAAGATAAGCTTGAAAGTCGACACCCTAATTGTTTTTGCTCATTGAATTTAGACTATTTTTCTTCTTAGCAGTTTAATTCTCAGTTGATTAGAGCAAATATTTCGACTTTGATTTGTTAATTATCTAATTATTAGGGATTTATTTTGGATTTTGTTTGTATGATCCTAAGCTCATCAAGTTGACAAATTGACGCTTGTCAACCTGACCTCTCTCTACTACTTAATCTCTTTCATTCATATAGAACGTTAGATGCGTTTTGAGCCACTGCAGTACTTTCACATTTAAGGGCATGAGTCCTACAAAAATATTAGACTTGGAGATGATGATTACTTACATCAGTGATTCATTGAATTAGATATTTGAATCTAATGCACAACGAAATATATATGGTTTTATTTCATATTAGACCCTTAAATATTTTGAAAGTAGTCCCTCAAATCATCGAAATGTCTATAAATACCCAAATTCCTATATCTTGCAACTGCTACTCTTGAAATAAATGTCTAGTTAAAAAACATTTCTTTATTTTGATTATTGTAAATTTTCATGTTATAACTTATAGCATATGCTCTATCTGTTGGGTCTTCAAAAAGATTTAACAAAGGATCAGTTCACATAGAATCTAATTACCTTGCATGGTAACGTTTCCCTGAAAAATTTTAGGCTAATAATAGGATAGGAGAAAATGATAGGTATAACTGAGATTAAACGAAAACAACGAATTGATCGCACTAGCAGAATATAGTTAAAATTAAGAAAAAATAATCACAGTGCAATTCAATTCAATCAGAAACCAAATCCAAACGGGTTAATTCACGAAACGACCTGTTGGGGTTCAGAAGAATGCTTGGGTTTCCATGGGAAGCTTAGGGTTTTGCGAGGCTGAGGCCGAACATAATCCTCCCCCAGTGCAACTTCTTTCCCAATCGCACAATGAATTGAGAGTAGAATCGAAACTAAAAATATCGACTTGAGCTCCATTTTTTTTTTTAATTTCCACAACCTTTTTCAATTTTCGGTTCAGATCTTTATACTGAGCTGAACTCAGGCAGCGGAGAATTTGTGAGTTCGTAAAGCATCTTGAATATTACGAGAATGCCCCGCGAGTTATGTCCCAGTTCGAGAAAAGTGAGGGGTGTTTTGGGAAGAAAGCGAGAGAGCGCGAGAAGGCATTGCACGCCGAAGGTGTGAGCGGCCCAAGCCGATAAGATCTACGGTTGCGGGAAGCGCCGGGTGTTGAGTCACTTCGCACACTACAAAGGCCATCCCTTTTCTTTTCCTCTTTTTCTTTTTTTTTCCCTCTTTTTTTTTTGCGAGAAGCAATCTTATATGATTTACAGTTAAAGTAGGCTAGCGACATCTTTCAAATGCTTATTGGTTATAGTAGGCAGGTCTATTTCTATATCAAGCGTTCAGAGGAGGCTATTTTGATACGGGTTCCATTTGGATATTCCTTTGTAAACCGCGTGATTGCTATAGTAACACAAAGTCAATGGTCCAGCTATACCTGACAACTATGGTAACTCCACACTAAGAAGAAGTATTTTTGCTGTGAATTAACTAGGAGCTGCTACTTCAGCTACAGTTTCTGCCACATCAATCCCTATTTTTAATTTAAGTTAATTATAAAAATCTAATTTTGATTAAAAAGAAAATAATATATGAAGATAAGAGCAAGAATAGAGGCGCTATGATCTTATAATGTAGTTTGAAGAGTACTGAGAAAGAAAATAGTAGAAAACTAAAAAAAATAAAATAAAAAAGCAAATATGAGAGTTCTAGTTTTTGTACCACTTAGTTCTAGTCTGAAACATAGAATAATTTGAGAGACTAGAACTCTCTCTTTTCTATACAACTAATATGACAATGGTGGGACAATTTTGTACAGTTATCCCAGTTTTATTATTTTTTTCCGGTTCTAGTCAACTAACGTTATATAAATTTATCTTAGTTCTAGTTCTAGTTGAATAACATCATAAAATTTTATCCATATATTATCCTAAAATTTTATCCTTATATTATCCTAGTTATGGTTTTTAGTTCTACTTGACTAACCTCCTCTATCTTGCATGTTAGAATGTTTATTGCTAGGGGATCTTCTTCTCCAAGAACAGCGTCCAAGTGATCAAAGCATTTGATCAAAGTTCTTACTGAAAACCCAATTTAAAGTCTACAGACAGTAAGCTGTATCTAGGTTGAATTTGGATAAAAGAGTTATCTATTACCGGCCTACTTAAAAATACTGATACAAGATAGGCATGAAGCATCTCACTATTTCCAATTTGTATATTTAACTAATATGCACGAAACTAATGAAGCATCTCGTTATTTCCAATTTGAGCTTCGTCTTTTGCTGACACTCATCACAACCAAAAGAACATGCTGTTATATACAAATTTATCGTGCTCTCTCTCTCTCTCTCTTCTATGCTACATGGATTCTCTTACTAATTCATAATACAGAGTAAAAAAAAAGGACCTTAGACATTGATATAAAGAAACATAACAGAATTAACCATTTTCCTGTATTTATAGAAAATTTTATGTCCCTACATAATACCATACTAGATGTTAAGTTAGGATAATTAACATTTCGCTACTTTGTCAAGAAGAGGAATTAAAGAAAGAAACATATAGTTACCGAGAACTCATCATATCAAACCAATCCTAATGAACTTCTAGCTAAACCAACCAATCTAAATCCAGTACCAATTGCTAGTCAACATTCTATTGCTTCAAAGAAACACAGATATCTATATTTGCTCATAATCACACTCTATGAAAAAATGTATGTACTACTGGCAAAATAGAGAAGTATCAGGATTGCCATGTTAGTATTCTGTCATTCTGAATACATGCCAATACTGAATATATGCTACATGAACTGCTCAAATGCACTTACAACTATATTACTGCAGCGATGAGTCAGGAGATTGGTGGTTGTCGATTCTGATGAATTCAAGCATTCGCTTGGCCATCTCCCTTCCTGTTTCTCCCCATTCTTCTCTATCTTGCGACAACACCTTACCAGCTTCTGCGCAAATTGCTGACAGCTTAAACAACTCCCTGTTATCTTCACAGGTTTGAATCTGATACATCACAGCCAAGCAACACTCTCCATCCCCTGTCCCTTCCTTCATCATTTTCATTATGTTTTCAACCGCTCCTACTCGGACCAACACATTCCTCGCTTCTTTTATCCAGGCCAGTTTTGACATCAGCACCATTGCAAAACCCCCTAAACGCATTGCCTCCATGCTCGATGTATCAACCATCAGCTTCAGCAATTCATGAACAGCTCCTGAAGTCATTGCCAGCCTCATAAGATTTTCACCAAAATTAATTGTTAGGTTGCATAACGTCATCCCTGCATATCTACGCCCAATATAATCTCCTTTACATTTACAGAAATAGCTAACAAGGGCTGAAATCACATTGATGCCAGACCCAATTACTTCCTTGTTTCTTTCTTCTAATGCAAGGTTGTGGATAACAAGGGCAGCAATGTCACGGGTTTCAGTGTCGCTGTTCTTGAGGATGGAAACTAAACGTGAGATTACACCAGACTCGACAATAGTAATTCTATTGGAGGGTTCTTCGGATAAAATGGCAAAGGCGATGGCAGTTTGGGTGATAAGAACCTCAGGGTGACGAGGGTGAAGCTTTGGGAGAAGGTATCTGAGGATATCGTGTGTGCAGAGAGCAATACATACGTGTCTGTGCTGGCGCGCATAGCTACTGATCATGATCAGGGCTTGTAATCTTACTTCAATGTTCTCGTTTTTTAGCTCCATCATGACCACTTCCTTTATAGGATCAACATCAATGGTTTCGGTTGTAGAAATAGAGTCAGGAACTGCAGTCTTACTCCTGTTGATGGCTTCCATTGCTTCGGAGAAATATGAAGGAGGCCTTCTGTTGTAGGTGATTCTTGGTGAAGTTTTCTTGACATCTGGCTCCCTAATGATCTTCTTGAACTCTCTGAGAGGACTGACGTTGGTTTCATCACCTTTGGAGGAGGATGAAGAGGGAGAAAGTTGGTTTCTTGAATTCAAGAAATATCCACCATTGTCATCTTCAGAAACCTTCGTAAACCCTGACTGAAAATTGTCATAGAAGGCCAAGAATCCTTCAGTGCAACGGCAGGCCTCTTCTAGAGAAATGGGGCGAGGGCGAGGATGGCCGATGAGATCACACCATTCGAGGATCTTGGATTTGAGCTCCTCATTAGTTGTCAGATCAAAAGGAGACGAAGGAATGTAGTTGAATTCTCTGAAGGCTTCGATGAACACACGCTCGAGTGTCGAGCCATTCGGGAGTGTGATGGGATCGTACAATAAAGAACCTGTGATGGGGCATTGGAACTCTGAGGGAGGTCCTTGAAAGTCTTGTTGTGTTCTTAATGCCAGAGGAGGGAGACAAAGGGTGCTGAAGGGAGAGGAGGATGTTAGTCTAAGTGTGTAGACCCGAAGCTGCAATCAAAAAGACGAAGAAAACAGTCAGAAGACTGTGCAGTCGACCGCAGTGACAGATCCGGTCGACCGCGTGCACTGCAGGAAACCAAGTAGAAACTTTCCCTCTGGCCGGTCGACCGGCGTGGCCGCTGCGGGCGACCGAGATCGTGCACAAGACCCTGTAGGATTTCGTCGTTCTGACCGGTCGACCGACTTTGGTAAAGCGGTCGACCGCGGCGCAGATTCGCTGTTTCCTATTTTATTTAGGAATCATGTTTGGCTGGGGTTTGTTATAAATACCCAAACGTTTTTAGGGTTTGTAAGACATCAAAAAGAGAGCTTTTTGACTGCAAAGAGAGAGAGAATCTCAGAGAGATTAACCCCTTGTTTGAGAGCTTGTATTTTCTTCTTCAATTAATAAAAAGATTGTGTGGTGTGGCTCCCGAGGACGTAAGCACGTTGCCGAACCTCGTTAAATCCGTGTGTTCATCTCACTTACTGTTTTTTGCAAGTTAGATCTTTATTTGTGGTTTTATTCCTACTTTCCTACTTTCAACACAAGGTCCGGAAAGGCAAGGGTTCGATTGATTGTTTCGAATACCCAAAAACTGGTATCAGAGCTTCGTTCAGCAATTTGTGTGAAAGCCATGGCAGAGGAAAGCAAATCAAAGATTGAGAAGTTCGATGGATCGGATTTCGCCTACTGGAAGTCGCAGATGGAGGACTATCTGTACCAGAAGGACTTGTATCGCCCGCTTCTGGGCAAGGAAAAGGGAAAGAAGACGACGGAGTCAGATGGTGATTGGGAGGTACTGGATAGGAAGCTTATCTCCGTGGACATCACGTTTGATGACGAAGTGCAAGCCCTATTGATTCTATCGCAGTTGCCGGATAGTTGGGCAGGTTGTGTGACAGCAATCAACAATTTGGCGGGGAAAGAGAAGTTGAAGCTGAATGAGGTTGTTAGCATGATTCTATCCGAGGAGGTTAGAAGGAAATCGTCCGAATCAGAAGGTTCAGGTTCAGCCCTAAGTTTCGAGCAGAGAGGCAGAAGCCAGAAGAAAGGGAACCAGAACAGGAATCGGTCGAAATCAGTGAAGAAGAGGCCGAACTCGAAGGTTAGGTCTATCAAAGGGAAGTGTTGGAACTGCGGCCAGGAGGGCCATATGTCTTCAGTCTGTAAAGCACCAAAGAAGGATGCGGGTGAGCAGGAGGCTCATATCGTGCAGGATGCCTTGATCCTTGCTATGGATAGCGATTCTGATTCTTGGGTCATCGACTCAGGAGCCTCTTTCCACGCCACTGCTAATAGGAGACTACTTCAGAACTATGTAGCAGGGGACTTTGGTAAAGTATACTTGGGGGACAATGAACCTTGCAATATTGTTAGAAAGGGCGACGTTCAGATACAGATAAAGGGCTCTAAGTGGAATTTGAAGAACGTGAGACACGTGCCGAAGCTGAAGAGAAATCTTGTTTCGGTGGGACAACTTGGAGCAGAAGGCTACGTTTCGACTTTCACCGGGGATTCGTGGAGAATTTCTAACGGTACGATGGTTGTTGCCCGAGGCAATAAAACGGGAACTCTCTACCTCACTTCACATGCGAGTGACACCCTCGCAATTACAGCTGGCAATGAGAGTACAGATCTGTGGCACAATAGGTTGGGGCACATGAGCGAGAAGGGGATGAAAATTCTACATTCACAAGGAAAGCTAACCGGGATCGACACCGTGAAAGTCGGGGTTTGTGAAGACTGCATCTTTGGGAAGCAGAAGAGGGTTAGTTTCCAGAAGGGTGGAAGGCCACCTAAGGCTCAGAAGCTAGAGTTGATTCATTCGACGATCACTCGAGGAAGGTGTGGGTTTACTTCATGAAGCACAAGTCAGAGGTGTTCGAGATCTTCAAGAAGTGGAAGGCCATGGTTGAGAACGAGACAGATCTGAAGGTGAAGTGCTTGAGATCAGATAATGGTGGAGAATACGAGCTAGAGGAGTTCAAGAGGTTCTGTGCTACGAATGAGATTCGCTTAGAGAGGACTACTCCAGGGACGCCGCATCAGAACGGTATTGCAGAGAGGATGAACAGGACCTTGACAGAGCGTGCGCGGAGCATGCGATTACATGCAGGTCTGCCTAAGACATTTTGGGCGGATGCGGTGCATACGGCAGCATACCTTATTAATCACGGGCCATCAGTTCCATTAGATTTTGGGATTCCAGAGGAGGTTTGGAGTGGAAAGAAGATAAATCTCTCACACTTGCGAGTATTTGGTTGCGTGGCTTATGTTCATATTAGTGACCATGTCAGGGACAAGCTAGAAGCTAAGTCACAGAAGTGCACATTCATTAGATACGGCATTGATGAGTTTGGGTATCGCCTTTGGGATGAGAAGAACAGGAAGATCATCAGGAGCCGGGATGTGATATTCAATGAGGAGGTGATGTACAAGGACAGGGACAATGCCAAGGATAGCCAAAGCAGTGGGAGCAGCACTACGGATACAGGTGGATCCGAGTACATGGATTTGGAGGAACTTCCAGATGGGGGCGACGATGTCAGTTCTGACCGTAGAACGGAGGAGACTACAGGTGCAGAAGCTACTACCCAGGGCGTGGAGCCTAGGAGGTCATCTAGGGTATCCAAACCAAATCCCAAATACCTCTCGTCACTTGATTATCTACTCTTAACAGATAGCGGAGAGCCGGAGTGTTATGAAGAGACAGTGCAAGTAGTGAATCTCAGCAGTGAGAGCATGCGATGCAGGAGGAGATGGATTCTCTACTCACTAATGAGACATGAGAGTTAGCCCAGCTACCTGCACAGAAGAAAGCCTTGCACAATAAATGGGTCTACCGGGTCAAGCAGGAGAGTGATGGAAGCAAGAGATTCAAGGCCAGATTAGTAGTGAAAGGGTTTCAACAGCGGGAAGGAGTGGATTACACGGAGATATTTTCACCTGTTGTGAAACTCACAACCATCAGAGTGGTGTTGAGTTTGGTAGCTGCAGAAGACCTCTTCCTTGAGCAGTTAGATGTGAAGATTGTCTTTCTTCATGGTGACTTGGATGAAAAAATCTACATGAAGCAACCTGTTAGCTTCATTGAAGAAGGAAATGAAGAGATGATGTGCAAGCTCAAGAAGAGCTTATATGGTTTGAAACAGGCTCCGAGACAGTGGTATAAGAAGTTTGATAACTTCATGCAAAACAATGGCTACAGAAGATGCAATTCGGATCATTGCTGTTATTTCAAAAAGTTCGAGTCCAGCTTCATTATTTTGTTATTATATGTTGATGACATGTTGGTAGCAGGACCGTATTTAGAAGAGATAAACAGTTTGAAGAGACAGCTAGCAAAGGAATTTGCAATGAAGGATCTGGGTGCAGCGAAGCAGATTCTAGGGATGCGAATCAGTAGGGATGAAGCTGAAGGGACATTGAGATTAAGCCAAGCTGAATACATTGAGAATGTACTTCAGAGGTTTAACATGCAGAATGCTAAAGTTGTTAGCACACCCCTTGGAAGTCAGTTCAAGCTATCTGAGGAGCAATCGCCTAAGACAGATGCAGATAGAGAACATATGAACAGACAACAGAGTGCCATATTCTTCGGCCATTGGGAGTCTTATGTACGCGATGGTTTGCACGAGGCCGGACATCGCCCATGCAGTGGGAGTTGTGAGCAGATTTGCAAGCAATCCAGGAAAGCAGCATTGGGAGGCCGTGAAGTGGATAATGCGGTACTTGAGGGGGACAACAAACAAACCACTATGTTTCAGGAGGAGACTTCGTCGGTGATCATGATACGAGGCGAAGCACCACGGGGTATGTTTATACCTTAGCGTCGACAGTAGTGAGCTGGGTCTCACGTCTGCAGAAGATTGTGACTTTGTCTACAACCGAGGCTGAGTATGTCGCGATGACTGAAGCAAGCAAGGAGATGATCTGGTTGAACAGGTGCTTGGAAGAGTTGGATCTGAAGCAAGGGAGAGGAGTTCTTTATTGTGATAGCCAGAGCGCTATACATCTTACCAAGAATCCAGTATATCATGCCGCACATCGACGTCAAATACCATTTTATACGCTCGCTGATCGAGGACGGAAAGTTGCATTTAATGAAGATCATTTTATACGCTCGCTGATCGAGGACGGAAAGTTGCATTTAATGAAGATTTTGGGGAGTCAAAATCCGACGGACATGTTGACTTGACGAAGGCAGTCACCATTGAGAAACTGGAGTTGTGCGCAACTTCAGTTGGCCTTCATGAGTAGAAGAAGAAGGTGGAGTCACACTACGAGGATCGGCGCGATCGCCGGGATTTTTTTGTTGATTGAAGGAAGAACTTTTTCGGGGAAAAAGATACATGCGAAGAAGGGGAGAGTTCGGGTGAGCTCGTTGATGACGCTTTGGTCTCCAAGTGGGAGATTGTTAGTCTAAGTGTGTAGATCCGAAACTACAATCGAAAAGACGAAGAAAACAGTCAGAAGACTGTGCGGTCGACCGCAGTGGCAGATCCGGTCGAGAGATTGTTAGTCTAAGTGTGTAGACCCAAAGCTGCAATCGAAAAGACGAAGAAAACAGTCAGAAGACTGTGCGGTCGACCGCAGTGGCAGAGCCGGTCGACCGCGTGCACTGCAGGAGACTGAGAAGAAGTTTTCGCTCTGGCCGGTCGACCGGCGTGGTCGCTGCGGTCGACCGAGATCGTGCACAAGACCCTGTAGGATTTCGTCGTTCTGACCGGTCGACCGACTTTGGTAAAGCTAAAGCGGTCGACCGCGACACAGATTCTCTGTTTCCTATTTTATTTAGGAATCCTGTTTGGCTGGGGTTTGTTATAAATACCCAAACGTTTTTAGGGTTTGTAAGACATCAAAAAGAGAGCTTTTTGACTGCAAAGAGAGAGAATCTCAGAGAGATTAACCCCTTGTTTGAGAGCTTGTATTTTCTTCTTCAATTAATAAAAAGATTGTTGCCGAACCTCGTTAAATCCGTGTGTTCATCTCCCTTACTGTTTTTTGCAAGTTAGATCTTTATTTGTGGTTTTATTCCTACTTTCCTACTTTCAACACAAGGTCCGGAAGGGCAAGGGTTCGATTGATTGTTTCGAATACCCAACAGAGGAGATGAACTTTGATACACCATGGTTGAAGCTTTGCATCATGCTTGATTTTGGTCCAGCGACAGAGACTTTATCTACTTTCTCTGGGTTAGGAGGAGCCTTGAAGAAGGAAAACTTGAAAGTTGGCTTCCGTCCTCTTGCCATTTTTGAGTGAGAGCGAAAGAAGAGAGGAGAGAAGAGAAGAGAAGGATTAGCTACCGAAATCTTGACAGAACTTTCAAAACGTTGCCAGAACTGAATACTGAATAGTGAACTAATCATATTTTTTGCCAGTTATTAGTGTCCTTCCTATGTGTAACCGGATTTCTCTGAGTTATAAGATAACTTTGGGTTCAAATGATTAAAATAACAGGGGGGGGGATTAATTTAGGGCCTATAAACACTGAATATAAGACCAATTTCCAGGTTCAGCTGAATGAATAGAAGATAAACCATTTTAATTGACAGTTACAACCTGCATAAGTGCTACAAGATTTTTATTAATGATAAGATAACCAGTTAACTTAGTGTCCAAATGATTAAAATACAATGTAGATATTAATTGAGGCCTAGAAACACCGAGTAGATGACATTTCCAGGCTCAGATTGGATTGAGGAGCTATCCTCTTCTCTTTACAAATTTCTGATTTAACAGAAACTTGCAACACCAGAAGGCTATTGATCAATACAAGATCTTCAAATTAGCTCTATTTAGTATTAGAACTCTAAACTATGAATTTTTCATAAAGTAAAAAAACCCCACATTTTTTTCTTTTCTTTGGTGGGGGTGGGGTGGGGTGGGGTTGGGGGGGTTGGGCGGGTAAGTCCGGGGTGTAGGGGATTGGAGGGTGTTCAATTTCTAAGAAAAAGAGAGCCAAGAAACTCTCTGTAGGTAGACGACATGTCATAATTTATAAGATAATTGTAAGAACAGTGATGGGTGGTTACAGGTACAAGGCCCAGGAACTAGAGAAGTGTATGCATTTTTCCATAAGCAGTTATAAAATGCATAGGACACTCAAGAGTTAAAAGAGGTTCTCAGAAGGCTTTACCATGAGATACAGAGGTGAGAGTTCAAATTACCCTTACAAAGCATATCGTAGATGGAGAGGTTCACATAGATGGCAGGCCCTTCAGTCTTTTATCACCTTAATTGCATCGACAACCTTTTCCATCTTCATCCCACGACTTCCATTGTCAGTCTATTGATCAATATCTTGTGTTATAAGTTCTGCTTGAGCAATACAATATTTTTTATCAGTAATAAGATAACCAGTTAACTTTGTGTCTGCGTGATTAAAATACAAAGTAGAATTGTAGAAACTAATTTAGAGCCAGAAATTCTAATCAGACCACTTACGTCCTGGCTCATCTTTTGAATGGAGGAGTTATCCTCTCATCTCCACAAAAATCTCTGATACAATGTGAACTTATAACACAAGATATTGATCAATAGAAGATCGTCAGATCATCTCTAATTTGATCTTAGAACTCTAGATTCTTAATATTCTGAAAACCCTAAATTTATTATTTTAGAACAAAAAAATAATGTGTATATCTGAACTATTAATATTTTAGGATATAGCGACAGATTGAGGATGATTATGGGGTCTTATATTGAAAAAGTAAACATAAATTATCATCTCTCTTTTCTGTGAAATAATTAAATAAATTGGAAACTCATCAAGAACCATGTTACCTGCAGAATTTAACTTATCAAGTTGTTGACTACCACTATATCCAGCAGTGAAGTTAGAATTCAGGAACTTTTGAAATTCGGTGCTCAAACTATTGCTCGATTTTTTTCTTAGTAAATTAGTATTGTGTTTGTGCATGCATGCATCTATGTAGGTATGAATGTGTGTATGCATGTATGTTGTAAGTGTCTATGTATGATTGTATCATCCGTATAAGTTGATGTCAAGAGACACTAAGATAATGCAAAAATTTTAAATTATTTGTTGTATAACAGGCATTGGATATGTCGTTATTCTGAAGACTTTCCCCTCACTCTCTTCAGTGCCAGATAAAGGTGCTAGCTAGTATAAATAAATACAGTTATCTGAGAACTCTGCAGCTCAAAGCTGACTAAAGTAATATTAAAACTAAGAAAACAAATCTAAATGCAACCTACCAGTAAATATTCAAAAATAACTCCTCACCAAACTATCACCTCAAATTCTTCTGTCACTCTACAGCTACATGTGAAAATTTTCAACCGATTCATTCATCTATCAATTCTTGAACCTCATATGCAACTGTAGCACTTTATAGTAGAAATTAGCTTAGAAACACTGAGGAGAGGACATTTCAAGGTTCAGCTTGAAAATGAGTCCCTATTCTCTTCACAATTCTCTGATATAACAGAAACTTGTAACGCAAAAAGTTATTCATCAATATAAGATAGTTGGCTCTAGTTTTGTATTAGAATTCTAAATTCTTAGTACTCTGAAAACCTTAAACTAGTTATTTTAAATTATACGAGAAGTTGTTTGATACCCTTCTATCCCAAACTTTTTGAAATGAGACACTCAATGGTGTGTAATTGCGAACTAATAACATTCAAGAGTTTACTGTAGGTCTGGGGATAATTTTGGGAAGCTTATATAGGAAAATACAATAAAAAAACATTATATCTCCTTTCTATGAGATAATTAAGTAAAATAGAGATGTTATAGAGAACCATTTTATCCCAAAATTTAAGCTATTAGGTTCCCGTCATCTAGCAATATATATCCAGCAAGAAGTTCAATTATAGTTTTTAATATAATAGGAACTCTGGAAATTGGTGCTTCAGCTGTGAATTAGTAATGTAAACCAATCCAATATACATCCACATAATTTAATGTCAAAGAGACTAATATCCGGCAAAATATTTTTTGTGTTAACAGGGCATAAGGTGTGGTTAGGCCAAAGAGTTTTCCTTTACTTCCTTCAAATGCCAAATAAATGCGCAAATATGAACAAATTTACTCGTACCACTGGCAGGCAAATATAAACGCAGAACCACTTGCTAGTAAATATCATTCTAATGCTTAAAAGAAACACAGATATCAGATAACAGGATTGCCTATCATCGTGTATACATGCCAATACTTAATAATACTTGTCCAAAGAAGAATTATAAAAGGAAAAAAAACAACATTCTAATGCTTAGAAGAAACACAAGACTTCAAGTATCAGGATTGCCATGTCTACCGTTCTGAATACACGCCAAATATTGATACAAAGATTAGGCAAATTCAGGAAAGTGAACTGCTCGAATGCATGTACAGTTTAGTGCTGCTGAGATGACTTTGCAGACTTCTAATCGCCAATTCGATGAACTCAAGCATTCTCCTGGCCTTTTCCCTCCCCATTTCCCCCCATTCTTTATTTTGTAACAACACCTCTTCAGCTTCTGCGCTAACAGCTAACGTCTTAAACAACTCGTTGTTACCTTTACAGGTTTGAATCTGATACATCAAAGATAAGCAATGCTCTTCATCACCTGTTCCTTCTCTCGTCATATTGATCAGTGTCACCACAGCTCCAGCACCCATCAGTGCCCGCTTCCCTTCCTCTAATTCAGCCAATTCCATCAGCACCATCATTGATGGAAATGCAATGTTCAACCTATTTGCTGATAAATGTAGCAGCTTCAGTGGGGTATCCACACTCTTTAAAATCATCAAAATGTTCGCAGGACAATCAACACATAGGTTCCATATATTTTTTCTAATATCTGAACACTGATCATTCACTGATGAAAAATAATCCAAAAGCCGCAAAAGTTCTCTCCCCATGACTGCCTTATTGACATCTTCTCGTGACAAAGCCTCAAGCACGTTAGCAGCGAGGTTGCGGGCCTCAGCCACTGGACTTTGCTCAAGGATATTAACTAGTTGTTTGAGAATATAATCAAAGTGGGTCAGTTTTTCTCTGTTTGACTTTTCACTGGCCAGAAGAGAAATGAATAAGAGAACACTGTTGACCTCGGCGTGAGTAAATTTGCCAAGCATGGGGACAATAGTTTTTATCATTTCTCTGCATAAAGAGAACATTTCTTTATGTAGTGAAAAGATCCTAAAAGCTATTGTCCCTATGCTTGGCAAATTTACTCACGTCGATGTCAACAGTGTTCTCTTATTCATTTCTCTTCTGGCCAGTGAAAAGTCAAACATAGAAAAACTGGGTCACTTTGATAATATTCTCGAACAACTAGTTAATATCCTTGAGCAAAGTCCAGTGGCCGAGGCCCGCAACCTCGTTGCTAACGTGCTTGAGGCTTTGTCACGAGAAGATGTCAATAAAGCAGTCATGGGGAGAGAACTTTTGCGGCTTTTGGATTATTTTTCATCAGTGAATGATCAGCGTTCAGATATTGGAAAAACTATATGGAACCTACGTGTTGATTTACCTGCGAACATTTTGATGATTTTAAAGAGTGGATGCCCCATTGAAGCTGCTACATTTATCAGCAAATAGGTCGCGGAACATTGCATTTCCATCAATAATGGTGCTGATGGAATGGGCATACTTTTGTAGGGTGACAAGTGCACTCTCCGGTACTGAGCTGTCACTGTCTTCTAGATTCTTTATTATATCTTCTTTTGGATTTGAATTCATGCTTAAAAACCAATTTTAAGTTTATTAACATTAAGCAATATTCAGGTTGAATCTGTGGATGAAATACTTACCTATTACCTAGTAGGAACATAAAGATACTGATAAAAAGAAACACGTGAAGTAATCTGTCAACGAACAGGAATCTGTATATTAACCTATGTGTTCAAAACTATTTGATTTCAGTAATGAAGTGGCCTAAGTCTAATTTTCTTTTTACAAAAAGAATCATCTAATTAATTCCCATTTCTGTTCCCTCATCTCACATTTCTTTGAATCAAAAGTAGAATATGTGAACATGTATACAAATTTGTTGCTGCTCCTCCCTCTTCCATGCTGCATAGATCCTCTTCCTATCCAATACAAGGATTTTTTTAGGCAAAAAAAAAAAAAGAAAAAGAAAAAATTACCAGAAAATTTTAAAGGAAAGATGATAAACCAATATATTATGTCCCTAGATAACAGGATAATAGATGTCAAGTTAGTATGATTGACTATTCATTATTTGTCCACATTCAAGAAGTGAACCAAAAGAAAGAAGCATATGTAAAAGAACTCAAATCTTCAAACTAATCCTAAACTTCTAACTAAGCCACCCAATCTAACTAGAGAACAAACGGCCAGTACAAACATTCTAAAGCTTTAAATGAAGCATTTACCTATAGTTCTCCAAGCTCAATGCTAATTACCGATACAATGTATATGTAAAAGAACTGCTTACCACTGCAAAGAAGAAGAATCAGGAACTGCAGTCTTTCTCCTAATGAGGGCTTCCGTTGCTTCGGAGAAATAAGAAGGAGGCCTTCTGTTGTAGGTGATTCTTGGTAAAGTTTTCTTGACATCTGGCTCCCTAATGATCTGCTTGAACTTTCTGAGAGAACTGACGTTGGTTTCTTCACCTTTGGAAGAGAATGAAGAGGGAGAAAGTTGGTTTCTTGAATTCAAGAAATATCCACCATTGTCATCTTCAGAAACCTTCGTAAACCCTTAGTGAAAATTGTCATAGAAGGCCAAGAATCCTTTAATGCAATCACAGGCTTCTTCTACAGAGATGGGGCGAGGGCAAGGATGGCCGTGAGATCACACCATTCGAGGATCTTGGATTTGAGCTCCTCCTTAGTTGTCAGATAAAAAGGAGACGAAGGAATGTAGTTGAACTCTCTGAAGGCTTCGATGAAAACACGCTCGAGTGTCAAGTCATTTGGGAGTGTGATGGGATCATACAATAAGGGACCTGTACTCGGGCATTGGAACTCTGAGGGAGGTCCTTGAAAGGCTTGTTGTGTTCTTGATGCCAGAGGAGGGAGACAAAGGGTGCTGAAGGGCGAGGAGGAGATGAACTTTGATACACCATGGTTGAAGCTTTGCATCATGCTTGATTTTGGTCCAGCAACAGAGACTTTCTCTACTTTCTCCAGGCTAGGAGGAGTCTTGAAGAAGGAAAAGATGAAATTTGGCTTCCATCCACTTGCCATTTTTGAGTGAGAGAGAAAGAAGAGAGGAGAAAAGAGAAGAGAGGAGAGGAGGATTAGCAAAGCTTCATTACCCCAACTCCTATATCTTGCAACTGCTACTCTTGAAATAAATGTCTAGTTAAAAAACATTTCTTTATTTTGATTATTGTAAATTTTCATGTTATAACTTAGAGCATATGCTCTATCTGTTGGGTCTTCAAAAAGATTTAACAAAGGATCAGTTCACATAGAATCTAATTACCTTGCATGGTAACGTTCCCCTGAAAATTTATAGGCTAATAATAGGAAAGGAGAAAATGATAGGTATAACTGAGATTAAACAAAAACAACGAATTGATCGCACCAGCAGAATATAGTTAAAATTAAGCAAAAATAATCACAGCGCAATTCAATTCAATCAGAAACCAAATCCAAACGGGTTAATTCACGAAACGACCTGTTGGGGTTCAGAAGAATGCTTGGGTTTCAATGGGAAGCTTAGGGTTTTGCGAGGCTGAGGCCGAACATAATCCTCCCCCAGTGCAACTTCTTTCCCAATCGCACAATGAATTGAGAGTAGAATCGAAACTAAAAATATCGACATGAGCTCCATTTTTTTTTAAATTTCCACAACTTTTTGCAATTTTCGGTTCAGATCTTTATACTGAGCTGAACTCAGGCAGCGGAGAATTTGTGAGTTCATAAAGCATCTTGAATATTACGAGAATGCCCCGCGAGTTTTGTCCCAGTTCGAGAAAAGTGAGGGGTGTTTTGGGAAGAAAGCGAGAGAGCGCGAGAAGGCATTGCACGCCGAAGGTGTGAGCGGCCCAAGCCGACAAGATCTACGGTTGCGGGAAGCGCCGGGTGTTGAGTCACTTCGCACACTACAAAGGCCATCCCTTTTATTTTCCTCTTTTTCTTTTTTTTCCTTTTTTTTTTTTTTTGCGAGAAGCAATCTTATATGATTTACCGTTAAAGTAGGCTAGCGACATCTTTCAAATGCTTATTGGTTAAAGTACGCAGGTCTATTTCTATATCAAGCGTTCAGATGAGGCTATTTTGATATGGGTTCTGTTTGGATATTCCTTTGTAAACCGCGTAATTGCTTAGTAACACGAAGTCAATGGTCCAGCTATACTTGACAGCTATGGCAACTCCACACCAAGAAGAAGTACTTTTGCTGGGAATTAACTAGGAGCTGCTAATTCAGCTACAGTTTCTGCCACATCAATCCATATTTTTAATTTAAGTTAATTATACAAATCTAATTTTGATTAAAAATAAAATAATATATGAAGATAAGAGCAAGAATAGAGGCGCTATGATCTTATAATGTAGTTTGAAGAGTATGGAGAAGGAAAATAGTAGAAAACTAAAAAAAATAAAATAAAAAAGCAAATATGAGAGTTATAGTTTTTGTACCACTTAGCTCTAGTCTGAAACATAGAATAATTTGAGAGACTAGAACTCTCTCTTTTATATACAACTAATATGACAATGGTGGGACAATTTTGTACAGTTATCCCAGTTTTATTATTTTTTTTCCGGTTCTAGTCAACTAACGTTATATAAATTTATCTTAGTTCTAGTTCTAGTTGAATAACATCATAAAATTTTATCCATATATCATCCTAAAATTTTATCCATATATTATCCTAGTTATGGTTTTTAGTTCTACTTGACTAGCCCCCTCTATCTTGCACGTTTGAATGATTATTACTAGGGGGTCTTCTTCTCCAAGAACAGTGTCCAAGTGATCAAAGCATTTGATCAAAGTTCTTACTGAAAACCCAATTTAAAGCCTACAGACAGTAAGCTGTATCTAGGTTGAATTTGGATAAAAGAGTTATCTATTACCGGCCTACTTAAAAATACTGATACAAGATAGGCATGAAGCATCTCACTATTTCCAATTTGTATATTTAACTAATATGCACGAAACTATGATACAAGATAGGCATGAAGCATCTCACTATTTCCAATTTGTATATTTAACTAATATGCACGAAACTATTTGATTTCAGTAATGAAGCATCTCGTTATTTCCAATTTGAGCTTCGTCTTTTGCTGACACTCGTCACAACCAAAAGAACATGCTGTTATATACAAATTTATCGTGCTCTCTCTCTCTCTCTCTCTCTCTTCTATGCTACATGGATTCTCTTACTAATTCATAATACAGAGTTTAAAAAAAAGGACCTTAGACATTGATATAAAGAAACATAACAGAATTAACCATTTTCCTGTATTTATTGAAAATTTTATGTCCCTACATAATACCATACTAGATGTTAAGTTAGGATAATTAACACTTCGCTACTTTGTCAAGAAGAGGAATTAAAGAAAGAAACATATAGTTACCGAGAACTCATCATATCAAACCAATCCTAATGAACTTCTAGCTAACCCAACCAATCTAAATCCAGTACCAATTGCTAGTCAACATTCTATTGCTTCAAAGAAACACAGATATCTATATTTGCTCATAATCACACACTATGAAAAAATGTATGTACTACTGGCAAAATAGAGAAGTATCAGGATTGCCATGTTAGTATTCTGTCATTCTGAATACATGCCAATACTGAATATATGCTACATGAACTGCTCAAATGCACTAACAACTATATTACTGCAGCGACGAGTCAGGAGATTGGTGGTTGTCGATTCTGATGAATTCAAGCATTCGCTTGGCCATCTCCCTTCCCGTTTCTCCCCATTCTTCTTTATCTTGCGACAACACCTTACCAGCTCCTGCGCAAATTGCTGACAGCTTAAACAACTCCCTGTTATCTTCACAGGTTTGAATCTGATACATCACAGCCAAGCAACACTCTCCATCTCCTGTCCCTTCCTTCATCATTTTCATTATGTTTTCAACCGCTCCTACTCGGACCAACACATCCCTCGCTTCTTTTATCCAGGCCAGTTTTGACATCAGCACCATTGCAAAACCCCCTAAACGCATTGCCTCCATGCTCGATTTATCAACCATCAGCTTCAGCAATTCATGAACAGCTCCTGAAGTCATTGCCAGCCTCATAAGATTATCACCAAAATTAATTGTTAGGTTGCATAACGTCATCCCTGCATATCTACGCCCAATATAATCTCCTTTACATTTACAGAAATAGCTAACAAGGGCTGAAATCACATTGATGCTAGACCCAATTACTTCCTTGTTTCTTTCTTCTAATGCGAGGTTGTGGATAACAAGGGCAGCAATGTCACGGGTTTCAGTGTCGCTGTTCTTGAGGATGGAAACTAAACGTGAGATTACACCAGACTCGACAATAGTAATTCTATTGGAGGGTTCTTCGGACAAAATGGCAAAGGCGATGGCAGTTTGGGTGATAAGAACCTCAGGGTGACGAGAGTGAAGCTTTGGGAGAAGGTATCTGAGGATATCGTGTGTGCAGAGAGCAATACATATGTGTCTGTGCTGGCGCGCATAGCTACTGATTGTGATCAGGGCTTGTAATCTTACTTCAACGTTCTCATTTTTTAGCTCCATCATGACCACTTCCTTTATAGGATCAACATCAATGGTTTCGGTTGTAGAAATAGAGTCAGGAACTGCAGTCTTACTCCTGTTGATGGCTTCCATTGCTTCAATGGTTTCGGTTGTAGAAATAGAGTCAGGAACTGCAGTCTTACTCCTGTTGATGGCTTCCATTGCTTCTGAGAAATACGAAGGAGGCCTTCTGTTGTAGGTGATTCTTGGTGAAGTTTTCTTGACATCTGGCTCCCTAATGATCTTCTTGAACTCTCTGAGAGGACTGACGTTGGTTTCATCACCTTTGGAAGAGGATGAAGAGGGAGAAAGTTGGTTTCTTGAATTCAAGAAATATCTACCATTGTCATCTTCAGAAACCTTTGTAAACCCTGACTGAAAATTGTCATAGAAGGCCAAGAATCCTTCAGTGCAACGGCAGGCCTCTTCTAGAGAGATGGGGCGAGGGCGAGGATGGCCGATGAGATCACACCATTCGAGGATCTTGGATTTGAGCTCCTCATTAGTTGTCAGATCAAAAGGAGACGAAGGAATGTAGTTGAATTCTCTGAAGGCTTCGATGAACACACGCTCGAGTGTCGAGCCATTCGGGTGTGTGATTGGGTCGTACAATAAGGAACCTGTGATCGGGCATTGGAACTCTGAGGGAGGTCCATGAAAGTCTTGTTGTGTTCTTGATGCCAGAGGAGGTAGACAAAGGGTGCTGAAGGGAGAGGAGGAGATGAACTTCGATACACCATGGTTGAAGCTCTGCATCATGCTTGATTTTGGTCCAGAGACAGAGACTTTCTCTACTTTCTCTGGGTTAGGAGGAGCCTTGAAGAAAGAAAACTTGAAAGTTGGCTTCCGTCCTCTTGCCATTTTTGAGTGAGAGCGAAAGAAGAGAGGAGAGAAGAGAAGAGAAGGATTAGCTACGGAAATCTTGACAGAACTTTCAAAACGTTGCCAGAACTGAATACTGAATAGTGAACTAATCATATTTTTTGGCAGTTAGTGTCCTTCCTATGTGTAACCGGATTTCTCTGAGTTATAAGATAACTTTGGGTTCAAATGATTAAAATAACAGGGGGGGGGATTAATTTAGGGCCTATAAACACTGAATATAAGACCAATTTCCAGGTTCAGCTGAATGAATAGAAGATAAACCATTTTAATTGACAGTTACAACCTGCATAAGTGCTACAAGATTTTTATTAATGATAAGATAACCAGTTAACTTAGTGTCCAAATGATTAAAATACAATGTAGATATTAAATGAGGCCTAGAAACACCGAGCAGATGACATTTCTAGGCTCAGATTGGATTGAGGACCTATCCTCTTCTCTTCACAAATTTCTGATTTAACAGAAACTTGCAACACAGAAGGCTATTGATCAATACAAGATCTTCAAATTAGCTCTATTTAGTATTAGAACTCTAAACTATGAATTTTTCATACCGTTAAAAACCCCCCACATTTGTTTTTTTTTTCTGGTGCATGTGTGTGCATGTTTTTTTTTCTTTTTTTCTCTTATGGGTTTTTTTGGTGGGGGTGGGGTGGGGTGGGGTTGGGGGGGTTGGGCGGGTAAGTCCGGGGTGTAGGGGATTGGAGGGTGTTCAATTTCTAAGAAAAAGAGAGCCAAGAAACTCTCTGTAGGTAGACGACATGTCATAATTTATAAGAGAATTGTAAGAACAGTGATGGGTGGTTACAGGTACAAGGCCCAGGAACTAGAGAAGTGCATGCATTTTTCCATAAGCAGTAATAAAATGCATAGGACACTCAAGAGTTAAAAGAGGTTCGCAGAAGGCTTTACCATGAGATACAGAGGTGAGAGTTCAAATTACCCTTACAAAGCATATCGTAGATGGAGAGGTTCACATAGATGGCAGGCCCTTCAGTCTTTTATCACCTTAATTGCATCGACAACCCTTTCCATCTTCATCCCATGACTTCCATTGTCAGTCTATTGATCAATATCTTGTGTTATAAGTTCTGCTTGAGCAATACAATATTTTTTATCAGTAATAAGGTAACCAGTTAACTTTGTGTCCGCGTGATTAAAATACAAAGTAGAATTATAGAAACTAATTTAGAGCCAGAAATTCTAATCAGATCACTTACTTCCTGGCTCATCTTTTGAATGGAGGAGTTACCCTCTCATCTCCACAAAAATCTCTGATACAATGTAAACTTACAACACAAGATATTGATCAATAGAAGATCCTCAAATCATCTCTAATTTGATCTTAGAACTCTAGATTCTTAATATTCTGAAAACCCTAAATTTATTATTTTAGAACAAAAAAATAATGTGTATATCTGAACTATTAATATTTTAGGATATAGCGACAGATTGAGGATGGTTTTGGGGTCTTATATTGAAAAAGTAAACATAAATTATCATCTCTCTTTTCTGTGAAATAATTAAATAAATTGGGAACTCATCAAGAACCATTTTACCTGCAGAATTTAACTTATCAGGTTGTTGACTACCACTATATCCAGCAGTGAAGTTAGAATTCAGGAACTTTTGAAATTCAGTGCTCAAACTATTGCCCGGTTTTTTTCTTAGTAAATTAGTATTGTGTTTGTGCATGCATGCATCTATGTAGGTATGAATGTGTGTATGCATATATGTTGTAAGTGTATAAGTATGATTGTATCATCCGCATAAGTTGATGTCAAGAGACACTAATATAATGCAAAATTTTTAATTTATTTGTTGTATAACAGGTGTTGGATATGTCGTTATCCTGAAGACTTTCCCCTCACTCTCTTCAGTGCCTGATAAAGGTGCTAGCTAGTATAAATAAATACAGTTATCTGAGAACTCAGCTCAAAGCTGACTAAAGTAATATTAAAACTAAGCCAACAAATCTAAATGCAACCTACCAGTAAATATTCAAAAATAACTCCTCACCAAACTATCACCTCAAATTCTTCAGTCACTCTACAGCTACATGTGAAATTTTTTAACCGATTCATTCATCTATCAGTTCTTGAACCTCATATGCAACTGTAGCACTTTATAGTAGAAATTAGCTTAGAAACACTGAGTAGAGGACATTTCAAGGTTCAGCTTGAAAATGAGTCCCTATTCTCTTCACAATTCTCTGATATAACAGAAACTTGTAACGCAAAAAGTTCTTCATCAATATAAGATAATTGGCTCTAGTTTTGTATTAGAACTCTAAATTCTTAGAACTCTGAAAACCTTAAACTAGTTATTTTAAATTATACGAGCAGTTGTTTGATACCCCTCTATCCCAAACTTTTTGAAATGAGACACTCAATGGTGTGTAATTGCGAACTAATAACATTCAAGAGTTCTCTATCCCAAACTTTTTGAAATGAGACACTCAATGGTGTGTAATTGCGAACTAATAACATTCAAGAGTTTACTGTAGGTCTGGGGATAATTTTGGGAACTCAATGGTGTGTAATTGCGAACTAATAACATTCAAGAGTTTACTGTAGGTCTGGGGATAATTTTGGGAAACTTATATAGGAAAAACAACATAAAAACACATTATATCTCCTTTCTATGAGATAATTAAGTAAAATAGAGATGTTATAGAGAACCATTTTATCCCAAAATTTAAGCTATTAGGTTGCCGTCATCTAGCAATGTATATCCAGCAAGAAGTTCAATTATAGTTTTTAATATAATAGGAACTCTGGAAATTGGTGCTTCAGCTGTGAATTAGTAATGTAAACCAATCCAATATACATCCACATAATTTAATGTCAAAGAGACACTAATATCCCGCAAAATATTTTTTGTATAACAGGGCATAAGGTGTGGTTAGGCCAAAGAGTTTTCCTTTACTTCCTTCAAATGCCAAATAAATGTGCAAACATGAATAAATATGACTATCCAAGAAACCTGACCCAGTAAATTTCAAGCCAAGCTAACAAATTTACTTGTACCACTGGCAAATACAAACGCAGAACCACTTGCTAGTAAATATCATTCTAATGCTTAAAAGAAACACAGATATCAGATAACAGGATTGCCTATCATCATGTATACATGCCAATACTTAATAATACTTGTCCAAAGAAGAATTATAAAAGGAAAAAACAACAACATTCTAATGCTTAGAAGAAACACAAGACTTCAAGTATCAGGATTGCCATGTACCTACCATTCTGAATACACGCCAAATATTGATACAAAGATTAGGCAAATTCAGGAAAGTGAACTGCTCGAATGCATGTACAGTTTAGTGCTGCTGAGATGACTTTGCAGACTTCTAATCACCAATTCTGATGAACTCAAGCATTCTCCTGGCCTTTTCCCTCCCCATTCCCCCCATTCTTCTTTATTTTGTAACAACACCTCTTCAGCTTCTGCACTAACAGCGAACGTCTTAAACAACTCGTTGTTACCTTTACAGGTTTGAATCTGATACATCAAAGATAAGCAATGCTCTTCATCACCTGTTCCTTCTCTCATCATATTGATCAGTGTCACCACAGCTCCAGCACCCATCAGTGCCCGCTTCCCTTCCTCTAATTCAGCCAATTCCATCAGCACCATCATTGATGGAAATGCAATATTCCAGCGACCTATTTGCTGATAAATGTAGCAGCTTCAATGGGGCATCCACACTCTTTAAAATCATCAAAATGTTCGCATGACAATCAACACATAGGTTCCATATAGTTTTTCCAATATCTGAACACTGATCATTCACTGATGAAAAATAATCCAAAAGCCGCAAAAGTTCTCTCCCCATGACTGCTTTATTGACATCTTCTCGTGATAAAGCCTCAAGCACGTTAGCAGCGAGGTTGCGGGCCTCGGCCACTGGACTTTGCTCAAGGATATTAAGTAGTTATTCGAGAATATTATCAAAGTGGGCTAGTTTTTCTTAATTTGACTTTTCACTGGCCAGAAGAGAAATGAATAAGAGAACACTGTTGACCTCGGCATGAGTAAATTTTCCAAGCATAGGGACAATAGCTTTTATCATTTCTACTCTTTATGCAGAGAAATGATAAAAGCTATTGTCCCCATGCTTGGCAAATTTACTCACGCCGAGGTCAACAGTGTTCTCTTATTCATTTCTTTTCTGGCCAGTGAAAAGTCAAACAGAGAAAAACTGGCCCACTTTGATAATATTCTCGAACAACTAGTTAATATCCTTGAGCAAAGTCCAGTGGCCGAGGCTCGCAACCTCGCTGCTAACGTGCTTGAGGCTTTGTCATGAGAAGATGTCAATAAAGCAGTCATGGGGAGAGAACTTTTGCGGCTTTTGGATTATTTTTCATCAGTGAATGATCAGTGTGTTCAGATATTGGAAAAACTATATGGAACCTATGTGTTGATTGTCCTGCGAACATTTTGATGATTTTAAAGAGTGTGCATGCCCCATTGAAGCTGCTACATTTATCAGCAAATAGGTCGCGGAACATTGCATTTCCATCAATGATGGTGCTGATGGAATGGCATACTTTTGTAGGGTGACAAGTGCACTCGCCTGTACTGAGCTGTCACTGTCTTCTAGATTCTTTATTATATCTTCTTTTGGATTTGAATTCATTCTGAAAAACCAATTTTAAGTTTATTAACATTAAGCAATATTCAGGTTGATTCTGTGGATGAAATACTTACCTAGTAGGAACATAAAGATACTGATAAAAAGAAACACGTGCAGTAATCTGTCAATGAACAGGAATCTGTATATTAACCTATGTGTTCAAAACTATTTGATTTCAGTAATGAAGTGGCCTAAGGCTAATTTTCTTTTTACAAAAAGAATCATCTAATTAATTCCCATTTCTCACATTTCTTTCAATCAAAAGTAGAATATGTGAACATGTATACAAATTTGTTGCTGCTCCTCCCTCTTCCATGCTGCATAGATCCTCTTCCTATCCAGTAACAGGATTTTTTTAGGCAAAAAAAAAAAAAAACCCAGAAAATTTGATATCAGGAAACATGATAAACCAATATATTATGTCCCTAGATAACAGGATAGTAGATGTCAAGTTAGTATGATTGACTATTCATTATTTGTCCACATTCAAGAAGTGAACCAAAAGAAAGATATACTTCGATGGTGCCTCAAGAGCAGTTAATAAGGTAATAACCCCGGGAGGTCATACAGTTTCCTCTAGAGTTGGAGTCGTCTTAATCTTCCCAGGAAAACATGTGATGCCTCGGGCTTATTCATTGACTAGTCCGTGCTCCAATAATGTAGCCGAGTAAACAGGATAGTAGATGTCAAGTTAGTATGATTGACTATTCATTATTTGTCCACATTCAAGAAGTGAACCAAAAGAAAGAAGCATATGTAAAAGAACTCAAATCTTCAAACTAATCCTAAACTTCTAACTAAGCCACCCAATCTAACTAGAGAACAAACGGCCAGTACAAACATTCTAAAGCATTAAATGAAGCATTTACCTATAGTTCTCCAAGCTCAATGCTAATCACCGACACAATGTGTATGTAAAAGAACTGCTTACCACTGCAAAGAAGAAGAATCAGAAACTGCAGTCTTTCTCCTAATGAGGGTTTCCATTGCTTCGGAGAAATACGAAGGAGGCCTTCTGTTGTAGGTGATTCTTGGTAAAGTTTTCTTTACATCTGGCTCCCTAATGATCTGCTTGAACTTTCTGAGAGAACTGACGTTGGTTTCATCACCTTTGGAAGAGAATGAAGAGGGATAAAGTTGGTTTCTTGAATTCAAGAAATATCCACCATTGTCATCTTCAGAAACCTTTGTAAACCATGAGTGAAAATTGTCATAGAAGGCCAATAATCCTTTAATGCAATCACAGGCTTCTTCTACAGAGATGGGGCGAGGGCAAGGATAGACGTTGAGATCACACCATTCGAGGATCTTGGATTTGAGCTCCTCATTAGTTGTCAGATAAAAAGGAGACGAAGGAATGTAGTTGAACTCTCTGAAGGCTTCGATGAAAACACGCTCGAGTGTCGAGCCATTTGGGAGTGTGATGGGATCATACAATAAGGAACCTGTAATCGGGCATTGGAACTCTGAGGGAGGTCCTTGAAAGGCTTGTTATGTTCTTGATGCCAGAGGAGGGAGACAAGGGGTGCTGAAGGGCGAGGAGGAGATGAACTTTGATACACCATGGTTTAAGCTTTGCATCATGCTTGATTTTGGTCCAGCGACAGAGACTTTCTCTACTTTCTCCAGGCTAGGAGGAGTCTAGAAGAAGGAAAAGATGAAATTTGGGTTCCATCCACTTGCCATTTTTGAGTGAGAGAGAAAGAAGAGAGGAGAAAAGAGAAGAGAGGAGAGGATGATTAGCTATGGAAATCTTGACAGAACTTTCAAAACGTTGCCAGAACTGAATACTGAATAGTGAACTAACCATATTTATTGGCAGTTAGAGTCCTTCCCATGTGTAACCAGATTTCTCTCAGTTATAAGATAACTTTGGGTTCAAGTGATTAAAATAACACTATAAGACTACTTTCCAGGTTCAGCTGAATGAATAGAAGATAAACCATTATAATTGACCGTTACAAGTACAACCAGCATAAGTACTACAAGATTTTTATTAATGATAAGATAACCAGTTAACTTAGTGTCCAAATGATTAAAAGACAATGTAGATATTAATCGAGGCCTAGAAACACCGACTAGATGACATTTCCAGGCTCAGATTGGATTAAGGAGCTATCCTCTTTTCTTCACAAATTTCTGATTTAACAGAAACTTGTCACACGGAAGGCTATTGATCAATACAAGATCTTCAAATGAGCTTTATTTAGTATTAGAACTCTAAACTATAAATTGTTTCATACTGTGAAAAAAAAAACCACATTAGTTTTTTCCCCTGGTG